GGTCTCGACTAAAAGATACACGTGGTGGCGCTGGGATTCCTTGCATGGCCGAGGCTACACTCCCAATTACACTACCAATTGCGCTCTCCATATTGAATTGAAATTTGACTGTGGCCCTGTGCCGCTGTGCGTGTTGATTGTTTACTATCGAAGTGGTGTTTTCTATTTAGGCTTGTATGTAGCTAATTTTTTATGTTTTGACAGTTTGACCTAAATACTGTACGCTTTCTCTCCCTCGTCTCAGACTCTCCCCCAACATCATGATAATTTTATTGTTGTTTTTTGCCTACTTCGTTCTAATTTTTAAAAACAATTGGAACATTTTAGTTTGTTTGTTCGATAATACATTGTTTTTAGAGAATTAAAGACATATTTATTTAAAAAAAAACAATAATTCATTTCTGCTGAAGCATGTATTTCTTTTTTTTGATATATGTATTTTGTTTTTGTTTGTTTGGCTTTTATTATAAACAAACCCAAACGAGCAAAGAATTCTACCAACTTCTTTTTATATATTTAATTTTAAAAAACATTAAAAAACAAAAAATAAAATCGGAAAATTCAAATTGAACATGCACGGTCATAGCCTCCTCTATAAAGAACATATGAGGCTATGGCCGCTATGATACAGTTTTCTTTCTTTCTGACTTTTTACTTTTTACTGTTTTAGTGTTCATCAGCTCTATGTATGCGTTTTTTACTTTTTATCTGGGAATGCCGAGTAATCAGTGATTACTGATCATTGATCAATGATTGCTCTCCAGTCTCCACTCTCTAGTCTCCAGTTCTCCACACTCCCAACTTTTTTTGTTTTTTAAAAACAATATGTGTAGTAGTGTGTGTGACTATTTATGCGCAGTCTGTGCGGCTGTGCTGCGTGTTAGCTATGAATTGGCGCCTGTGGCTAGTATGTGACTGTTACAGTGTGTCCGACTATCTGTGGCTCAGTGCGTGCCTGGCTGTTGACGTAGAGTCTCAACTTTCAAGCTGGTCTAAATTTTCTGTTTTCTGTTTTTTTTTACAAACACAAAAGTGAACATTGGACCAGAATTCAATACGCGTTTCACATATAATAAAAACGATGCGTTTTGTAAACGCTTAGTTTGAACCCGTTTTTCCGTTTGCAGGAACTATGTAGAGGAGAATCTAATTTCAAAAACAAATTTTGTTTGGATATGCCTACTATAAACCAATAAATAGCTGTTCTTAGTGTCAATAGAAACTCTGGTCCAACTGGAAAACGAAACCGTTTATATTTTGGAAGAATTCAGTTGGCAGATGTTCCCAAATATAAGGGGCGCGAAACCAGACCCATCGATTTGAAAGCGTGTTTACTTTCAATTTACGAATCGATGTCTGCATTGGACAGTCACAGGGGGACTGGGCAATTTGGGCCGCTGGAAGAATGGAGCCCGGAAAGTGGGGGACAGGGGGTGTAATACTAATTCATCACTGGGGTCTGGGTTTATTAGGCGATAACAGTAGTGCTCAACCTCAGAGCCACCGGTAGCTCAACCCACCTAAGACTACTCTACCACTAAGAGAGAGGACTGGTTCGCTATAAACGCTCCATTTTTTTACACTAAACGTAATTAATCAGCTACATACAATATAGGCCGGTGAGTCCTTATGCATCATGTCAACCTGCAGGCTGCAGACGAAAAACATTAAACGAAGACATCAACACATATAAGTATGGTGTTGGGGGGGCGGAGGGAGCGGGTACTACTTGCGTCAGGCGACCACAAGCAAGTCACAACTTGCTATAACAGAAGTCTCACAAGTCACAACCACATATTCAGACAACAACCGGTAGAGAACAAACTTCAAACAGCATCACAGGAGTCAAACTTCTCTATTTTATATATAAAAAGACGCGAGGTCTGGAATCTGGACTCCTGGAGTTTGGAGTCTAGACTAGACTCTTAAGAGTCTAGAGAGTCTAGTACAGTGTACACTGTACACGGTGTACAGTTGTACACCGTACAGGATTGTGTCTATACGGCACCCGTGACTATAAAATTATAAACGCCCGTGCCCTTGTATACCCACAAATTGCTAGAGATTTTTGTTTTGAATATATATTCTGAAAAAAAGTGCGGTTGTGTAGTGAAATCACAGAACAAGACAAAATCCCTTGGACCTGAAATTTACAACATAAATTCAACATTCTACTGAACTACAGAGTTCAGGCTACAGTGCAATTGTGCAAACCAAACGATCATTTTCTCTGCTTGTATATTTTTAATATTCAGAAGTACATATGGATCCACGAATTCACGCTCACAATTAAAATAAAAGAACATTGACTCAGTCTCAGAGGTGAGACGTTGTATTCTATTTCAGGTGATTGTGTAGATTATGTACCGAAAACTGACTTGTTGACTGTTGTATCGGTAATTATTTTTTTGCAAGTGTATACGCTTAATAGTTCGGTACTTAGGCCAACTCCTTGCGCGGGCCCATAAATATCGACCATACCTTTGCGAATGGACCGGATGCGGTTTGGGACACGAGCTCGGGCGTTGATAAATATTAATACATATGGCCAATGAAATCACTCCATTTAGGCTTGTTTTTTATTCATTCCCAAACCTGACCCGTTTACAAACCGTAAGCCACGAACCAAATAAATGTACTCTTTATCTATTTAATATGCATCATTTTTCAATATTTATGTTTTTTATTGACTTTTTTCTATCCGGGAATATTCAATCCACCAATCAAATTACGTTTGATATGCAAACCAAAACCTTTCATGGGTTTTGGCCACCGGCACGAAAGCTGAATAGATTCTTTCCTACTACCTATCACATTAACTGATTATGTAACATTTTAATGCATTCATGCATGCATTTTAATGCATTTATGCATGCATGCGAGCCAAAATGCATGAATGCATTCAAACGTATGCCATTTTGACATCATTCATGCATTTTGCATTTTTGCGTGCACGCATGCATGCATTTCAAAAAAAATGCATGCATGCAAAACTGGATGAATAACTTCACAACTGTATGCATGCATGCGGTCATGAATATAATCATGCATTGATACACACAAACCTGCAGGTTCGAATGCATTCGTGCATTGATTCTTGGATTATCGGATTTGAAGCTGCTTGCTTGTGTGTAACAATGCATGCATGCATGCAGTTTTGAATGCATTCATGAAAAAAAATGCATGAATGTATTCAAATGCATGTATGAAGGCAGTTTGGAATGCATGAATCCAAAAAAATATATGGCATGCACGCATGCATGTTCATGTACTCCAAACTACAAGCATACAAAGACGAACAACGATTGGAAACAATGGTATCACAACAAAGCATAGCGATAATGACTACAGTGTACAAAAAGAACGATTGAACAAGCTCACTATAAACAAGATGTAAAGACGTCAAGCTTTAAAGTCATAAAACAACAATAGTTTGTATGAAATTATACAAAAATAAACCAAGTTTGGTCCGACGGTCGGCCTAATGTCGTGATTTCATGGCCCACAGTTTTCAAATTGCATTAAAAGTTTGGGATCTCGTTTTGTTTCAAATCACACTCGTGTTGACACCTCAGTTTTTTTGGTTTGGCACTCGTTCAAACCTGTCGTAAACTCGTTACTCCACTTAGTTTTTCACTCGTTTTGTGGTTTGCAAACCACAAATTTCGTGAAAAATATCGTGGAGTAACTCGTTTACTCCGCTTTGAACTCGAGCCAAAGCAAAAAAAACCCTCGGTGTCAAAACTCGCGCCCAAACCTTATAACAATTTGAAAACTGCACATTTACTAATTTTATAGTCACGGGTGCCGTATAGACACTATCGTACTGTAATTCCATTTTTTTTTAAACGAGAGTTAAATAGTGCACAGTGACAGTATTGACCAGTTGCTCCGGTCTGAAAGACTGAAGTCCAGACTTCAAACTTCAGAGTTCAGAACTCCAGACTCCAGGTCCTATTTTTAGTTCCTTTTCTTGTTTTGTTTTGTAAAAATAATAAACAATCCTTTATGTATTTATTTATTTACATAGGTTTTAGAGGGTGGGTCGGTGGGAAGAGGCCCAGGGGGGCGAGGGGGGTGGTGGGGGAGGCCGTGGGGCAGAGGTGCGCGTGGCGGTAGCGTGCCATATAGTTGTTCTCCACAATCCACTGAAATTCATGAATTTATCCATCCCCCAGGGGCCCAGACTCCAGAGACGGTGACCAGTCACCAGCCCACACACACTCCCTCTCTTATTGAGAGTAGTGAGCCCTCCAACCCCATCACCCAGGGGCCAGGGGCCAGGGCTCAAAGGTTATGGCCCGTGAGGGGAGGGTTACCGAAGGGTGCAGCGCTAATAAGCCTGCCATGCCTTGATAAAATTCTTAGTCGCTCTCAGCCTCTTAACAGTGTCCACTGGTCCAGACCTTCAGAAGTTCAGGAGGCTTCAACAAGTCCAGGCCCAGAGGCCATGGGTCAGGTCCCAAGCCCCAGGGCTCCCGGCCTTAGGGAGGTAGCTGATGTAGCTCCACCGTTGTAGTCGGCGAGGCACAGTTTATTGGTCAATATCTGATGCTTCACGTTGGAAATTTGAAGATGCTTGTACTTACCGTGGATAGACTAATAGGAATCGATATACAATGTCTTTGGCGGGCCATTTTTAAATATCTTTTAAAATAAATTCAGTTTTCCACCAAAACACGAATAAATCACGTATTCGAACAATTACCCTAGTCGTATTTTCTGTATTATATTATTTCATAATTTATGTTTGGTACCACTTCTGTAATCTGCAGTGCTGCACCTTTCATATTCACACAAATTTAACCAATGTACTCTCAATGAATTGATATGGCCTGTGATAGTAAGTGGTAATAAACCTGAATTTATACTGTGTTTTATTACCTTATATATTCCAAGTTGGACGACTATCGGATGTATCGGCCTTCACAATCGCCGAAAAAGTATTTATATTTTCCTCCTCTGGCTCGCTGCTGCCCGTTGATCATTTTATCGCACAT